TATGGTAGCTAGGGGCAACTGATGCCGAATATGACGCTGCTGGAATTACACATGATGCATCCTGAAGTAACTGGTCAACTTCAATCCCGTTCCGTAGCAGCAGCAGTGCGATCCGGAAAAACACACCGTAAAGACAAACAGAAGCAACAGGCACTTTTAGTGCCACTCATAAAAGTACTGCATTTCAGCGGCACATTCAATTAAATGGTGACAGAAAAGTGGGAGATACCTACCATCGATCCCAACAAGCGTAATACTTCAAAAAAGCACGTGCTGAAAAATCCCTCTAAATTGATACACACACGAAGAATGCATCACCGAACTTTGCACTTGCTGCAAAAGCTAATTTTTTGCACAAACAAAAAAATCAACGTTCGACATCTCTCCGCCAAAATGAGGCGGAAGCTAATTTCATGGGCTATTTATTTAGCACCGTCCGAAACTGATACCGCATCCTCGTTGCTCACCGTGTCCAGTACCTTCTTTATCTGCAAATTCTGTATTTAGAAGTCAAAAAATAACTAATGAACTACCTATTCGCTGGGGTCAAAAGGAAGCCATCGACAGCCTTTTGCCGGATGGTTGTCGCCGGCAAAAGTGCGGCCGCTCAGACCACTTCTGCAATGCCTCCCGGAGATTACAATTGCGTTGTCCGTTTAGTTGGTTGATTAATGTTTTTTTTACTATTTTTTTCTGAAAACAACCATCACCATTAAAATACACGGCGGCAGAAGCAGTAAGAAAGCATGCTTAAAACTGCACGATCTAAAATTTCCAGATCCTGAAGTCTTGGAATAATTCGGGATACAATTTTTGAATTTTTTAAATATTAGCTCATCGATTTGAGATTTTTGGAAAACATCTAAAGAAAACTGTATATTTAGGCACCGCCTACGAGGAGGAATTAAACATTACCTTAACTATACTTCGCTTAAGATTATCATCCGAACAACTATTTTGTAGAAGAGAATTCTCCGTTGGAGTTGACGCACCATCCCTATCTGCAGTGGTAATAATGATATGACATTTTTGAAAAAAAAAAAGATTTTAACACAATCAGAAAAACAACAGCAAAGAATTTGGAGAACCCTCCGCTCCA